ACGATTTCCGCTGCCCCGTCGGTTGCGTTGCGTCAACAGTTTCGTTCCGTTGGTGGATTCTCGTTGCTGGTTCCTCTCATGAATTGGCACGTGGCTTTATGACGAACGCGTTTTCTTTTCCTTTTCTTTTTCTGTTTTGTCTTTATGTAGTAAGGTGTTCTAAGAATATAGTTTTGTGGTGGGTTCGGGGGATATCTGCTTTCCTCTTTGGGGAAAATGATTTTTCGCAAGGATTGCTGCCTATTGGTTGATTGAGAACATTGAATCACAGTTATTTCTGTTTTCAGCTTTTCTACTTTTTTGTTTTGTTTTGTTTTGTTTTTTTGGTGATTTTATTGGTTATAAGAAAGTGAAACCCTTTGTTTTGATGTCAATGTACTTTCATGTGTAACATGAGACTTTGTTTCGATGTCCATGTACTTTTCATGTGTAGCATGAGACAAGTGTATGCTGCGAGAGTAAAGAATACAACAATACATGTAACAAATTTGAAAAACATTCTCAATTAGTATGGCAATGAGATTGTTGATGACAGGGGGGTATCTAATCACTAGGATGCGATTTGCCTCATGTTTAAACCATGAGCTCACTGCTCAATTATGCATCAAACTTTTTTAATATATATTTGAGAATTTTAAACTGGGTATTTGACTTTTTCAAGCATAGTGTTGTTGAATTCATATCTATTGTTGGTAAATACATATTTGTTACATTGTAATAGATATGTAACTAGCCTTAGTTGTATCACACCAGACATCTTTATGTTTGGGTGCTTGGTTTTATTATGATTTACTCCACTCTATTCTGGAAGTTGGAAAACGCTTTAAATTCATAAATTCTTATGCAGATTGTTAAATGAGATTTTTTTTATTCATGATACTTGAGATTTTCTTCTACTTTTACTTTTCATTTTATTGTTATCTTAACAAAAAACCAACTATTGTGTATGAATCAAAATGAAACTTTGAGAACTCAGAAATCTACCAAACTTTGGCACACATGGACAAAATTAGAGTGCAAAAATAGAATTGCATGAAACTCAAAATACAAACCCTAAAAGATTTACCTAGCTCAATTTTATGTATATTTTTGTGATGTGGGTAGTATTTAAATTTTGATCAATCACTCTTTACACATTAAAAAAATAAGTAGCTATGCAATTGTCAAAAAACATAAGATTGATAAACATGAAGTGTATATGAATTTCTTAAAATTTGCATAAGTTTTAAGCAAAATTATACGTATTAAATTGATATACTTCAATAATAAATGATTTCAAGATTATACACTATTGAAGATGAAATGCCTCAGCAAAAATAGATTGAAATGCAATAACTAAACCACTATTAAGTACAATACATGTATATTTCAATCAATTGGTAACATGGTTGAAACAACTGGATAGACCAAGAACGATGATTTTATAAGTAATTTAAGATACTTTTTAAAAGAAAAATTCGAGTAATATTTAGAATTTATGAAGATCTATTGAAAAATATATTTAGTTAACATTTTTTAGTAATTATTACATCAAATCATGAAATTTCATTTGTTGTAAAGATAGTGATTTTTTCTGAAAATATATAAAAAAAAAAAGGTTTAATTTTACTCTATCTGTCTAATTTTAGTAGTGTCATTGCATTTAGTTGTTCAAAATAATACAAGAATCATAAGTATTGTTATTTAGAATTTTACTTTAGGTCCAGATTGAAAATCAAGTAATTTTATGAGATCATGAGTAGGTAGTTCAAAGTATTGTAAATGCCACAATGCATATGAGTTATTGTTATATAACTACTCTTGTTTATATAAAAACCTTAATGTAATATCACTAACTCGGTCTTCTCAAATATTGAGGGACATAAAATGATTATTTCGAAAAATGTTAAACCATTGCATAAAAACTAACTAACTATTAAAACAGACTCAGAGAATTGTCTTGTAAAACACCAAAAATATCTTACTTCTGCATCAAAATGTAAACAGAATTTCATTCCATCAGAAAATATCAATTATAGAGATTTTAAAATAAAAACTTAAATTATCTTGGTGATGTTCTTATTTTATATTATTTCTAAGGCTTCAACTACTTTTCTGAAGCTTGTAATGACTCAGCACAAACATATTTTTCTATCTATTAACGTAAGGATGACTTTTACATACAAATGGAAATGTAAATAAATAAATGAATAAAATTTGACAATCCTGTTGCAATTGTTACATGAAACAACACACTACGTTTTTAAGCACTTTTTTAAAATTTTGGAATATTCTTTGTATAAAAACAGATAAATCTCACGGTTAATATCATGCTGTTCAATCATTTAGAAATATAATTTCTGAATTTAATTCCTAACCACACACATTTAAGTCCATTCAAAGAGTTAAAACTTGCAATAGTCTGTGTCTTTACGTTGGATGCAATTAAGTGTAAATGCTTTTTGAAAGATCAATTGAGGTGTTGAAGTTTATGATAGTGAGCAACAACAAAACCTGATTTAAAACATACATATTTTATACCTTAAACTTCAAAATACTAATAAAATTTTACTTAGACACTACATCATTACTTTGGTGGAATGTAAGCTTTGTTTTTAGGTTATTCTTTGACAGACACCACAATTTTTTTAAGAGAGTAAAAATAAACAATATATCTACATGTACCTAAAAATGCTGACGTTGATTAAAATAGTATATAAATATATTATTGTAAAAAGGATTCAACATTTGATAGAAGGAAGCTTTGCCCAACTTAGTGGGATTGGAACTTGAGTGCACACGTGGTCAAAATAGTATTACTTATAATACAAACAAGAAGAACATGAATATTACATGAATAACAAGAATAATACAAGAATAATACAAGAATAACATGTGGTGATACTAATTGATTCTTTTTCTTACAACAAAATAAATGAAATTTTACCAATGATAAGGTTCTCTTTGTTCATGGCAGAAAGTTAAAACCAAAAACATAAGAGCCAATTGGACTAGTGCAGTAATGTTCTCTCTAAACATATTTAAGTTCCATTTTCACATCCCCCTCTCTTCCCTTCCCTGGGTCTCTGCCAGGGCATGAAGCCAAATCCAGTAATAGAATGTCTCTCTCTCTTTCTTTTATGAGGATGAGATGAGGTGAAGAGTGAAACCAAGTCTTTGAGAGGTTTCAGGGTAAAATTTTAGGGTTAGGGCTGCAGGAGTGAGAAGCAATAAAAGTCATGGATCTGGGTAAAGGAGGATAGTACTCTTGCATCAGTCAGGATGTCTGATTGTCCTGGATGGGGGGATCAACCCATTGAGTTAGCATTACTTGGCATGCTTCAGTTTGGCAGGAAAGTGGGGGGGAGTGTGTGGGGGGGGGGGGAGGATGAATGTGAGATGAGAAGTTAAGGATGAGGGCCCACATGTGCATGCATCTGTGGGTCTCTCTCTTTTTGTGTCTTGGATTTTTCTGCCCTTCCTCTCCAATTTCTATGTCAGAACTGTGGCTTGAATGTGAGTCTTCATGGTAGTAGGGCCTCATCAGGCATGGTGCCAGGTCTCATCTCCCAACTCACTATTCATTTGCTCTCTAAATAATATCACAGACTGGATGCATCTCCCCTTTTGCCTTGGTTACATCTTTACATCTCTATCAAGTTATTATTTTCCTCTGTTTCTGCCTCCTCCAGGCAATGCCTAGTATCACAGGACTTTTGCATATCAGAATTTCTCTCACATTTGTGTAGTGCCTTTGTTTTGGACAAATAATAGAAGTTTGGAGTTTCTTTCATTTCTGTCTTATTGTCTGGGTGTGGAGGAGATACATTGTGCATATATCCAGAAGGAAGAGTAATGTGGAATTCCTTATAACATCAATTCAGATCAAGAAGGAACTGTTTGTGAGTTTCTTATTGCCACAACACCCTCAACCCAAAGAGTGGATACAAACCAGTTAGAAGCTGATGATGAGTCTGGTGGCTCCCATTGACTCCACCTCCACTCTACAAGCAGAGTTCTTCAATCAGGTGGTACAAATGCTCATATGTGATTCCTGAGAAAGACCCACAGTGACAACTTAGAGTAAAAAATCACACATATTATGTAATCATTTTTTTAATTACTTCTATTTTTTTTAAAGTCATCTTTTAATGCAAGAGTAGAAGTGAATCCATGACAGAAAAAAAATAATCAAACGGTACTTTGTTGAAAAATAAAAAGGAAGAATATTTATTTAACTTACTAAATAGCTAGGAAATAATAGTCTTTGATTTTCTTCCAGTGCTGACATGGTACACTTTACAGAGCATGGGGAGATATCACCTGTACTGTGATGCTTGAAATCTCTTCACTCTGCACACCTAATCAGATAGTAAAATCCCACACTCTAAATATTAGTTCACTGATAAAAGAAATAGAAACAATTATCCCTAACTTTTGAGCCAAATAATATCTCAACTTCCAAAGAAAACATAAGACAAGCTATTAATAAGCTTTTGAGGTACTTATTTGCTGGTGGTCAATGTTAGGGTTGTATCTAGAACCATCTCACAGATTCAATCAAAGCTCTCTCTCTTTCTCTTTTTGAGTGATGAGCATGTGAGCAATGTAGAGAAGTCCAAGATGGGTTAGGTCTCAGGAGGATGGGGTAACATTCTACAACATCAACAAGGGGGCATGTAGATTAATGAGACGCAGAGCTTAGGCAACCAGTGACCCCAGGTAGTTGATAAGCATTGAATAGGGGGAGGGGGGGGGGGGGGAGGGGAGAGGCGGTGTAAAAGGAGCCCACAGACTCACCACCCCCGCTCTCACTCATGAACATTGCTTGACGAAACTGCTCAGTCAATCGCCGTCGACGATCTTAATTAGGCTTTAACAAAATTGTCTCGTTCGAACACCTCACTCGGCCCGGGAATGCTCGTGGGCTTGGTTCTCGGACTCGGGGAACGCGCGCACTCGAAAGTGTTCCCCTCAATGGTGACGTGCCCGGGTCAATATGTGGCTTTGTCGGAGAGGCCTCAGGGGACTGCCATTTTCCAGTGTTCCATTTGCAAGAACTTCATTGCAGTGTGGTGACCTGCTACTCTTCAGCTGCATCAGCAGCAGCAGCATTGCCCCCATACTTCCCTAAATTGCTCGTAGCGGCCCTCATTGCTAGGTTTTCCTAGAGCTCGGACTGTGCGCAGCAGCACGGAGACAATGAAAATGAGTTACGCAATGTCCACTTGAGGGCTCTCTGAGAGTGCGTGCGTGCGTGCTTGTGTGTGTGTGTGTCTGCCTGCATTGCGTTTTCATTGGTCATGAAGGCAGGAGAGCTACTACTGAGACGAAGAGTGGCAGCTGGTGCCCTGCGGAGCAGTGAAAGGTGTGGAGCTGTTCTTGTTTAGGAGCGGGTCTCCGGCGAGGCGACTTCTTGCTTGGCCGGGGTGAGCTTAATGACGTGGTTGTGTGTATCGGTTGTTCCTGCATGTGGTGGTTATGTTCGTTGTGGCTATTAGGCTGCAATGTTGTGATGCTCGTGGTAAAAGTCGTACGCTGGAGACGAAACTTGCTCGGAGCTTCAGCTGTTCTTTGTTTCGTTCTGCCTCCCTTCTTGATGTCGCAGGACTACGCTTCCATGATCAAATCGTAGGACGGTGTTTTCAAATTTAGAAGCCAAGTCTGGTCGCTGTCGTAGCATTGAGGGACGACAGTTGGGATTTTTAAGAACTGAGTCGCCGAGTATCATACATCCTATTCGTGCATCACCAATGCACTCTTTTTGTTGAGGCTCAGCACTTCTTATGTGCTCGTGATGGAATATCCCAGAAGCGATTCCAATTCTGAAGTTAAATCCCTGGTCGCGTTACCATAGCATGCACAGCGAGAGAAACACCTCGTCGGGCTTCATGCAATTATTTCACCTCCTCCTTTGGGAATGAGTACTGAGGCGTCCCTAGGAAAAAGCTACAGCATGACTGTGATTTCTCGCATTGTTCAGCAACCTTTATCAAACTTAGTTCAGAACATGTCGTAGGCCTTGTAGCAATGACTTCAGTGCTGCCTTTGAATTCTCATGAGCATTCTCCTGTCGTTCATTATGCAGTGTCTAGATTGGCTTACCTAATAACATCAGCTCAACCGCTTTTCAGTGTGCTTAACTCTCATCTTTGCAAAAATCTCCTTACAAATTTGAAAATCTTGTCATCTTCATCAGGACCACGTCTTCGACCAGTCCAGCGGGATCTTGGCAAGCAGCTTCCTGTGTTTGTTTTGTTACTTCATTCTCTGAAAATGCTGACATTTTCCATCACGATCCCTACCTGAGTAAATGTACAACAATATTTCAAGGCAAGAGACCGTTCTCTGACTAAAGGCGCTTTCACGAATTTCAATTGGAGAATCTGTCAAGGACGGTTATTCGGGCAGCTTCTACTCTCGGGGAACACTGAAAAAAGACACTGAGCTTTGTCATTTTACTTTCAGCATGTCCAGGAGGGACGAGGACGACGTGGATAGAGATAGCGTCCCGAAACAGAGACAGCTAGAAGACAATGAGCAGCACTTCTTGACCGATTTCCCGTCGGAGGGTTCTAAGTTACAATGTGTCGAGCTTGAACAAATCAAATCTCCCAGACAGATTAAGAACATGGAGGCGCCAAAGAATAAAAAGGAGGAGCCTCCAAGTGTTCCATACTACAAGCTGTACTCCTTTGCAGATTCTTACGATGTATTTCTCATCTTTCTTGGGACCCTAGGTGCGTGCGTGCACGGTGTTGCCATTCCAGTGTTCTTCATTTTCTTTGGCAGACTCATCAATGCCTTTGGAGAGTACGCCGATGACCCCGAAACCATGAGTACAGAAGTTTCTAAGGTTCGTGCCAAGCTGAATGTCTTGAAATCTCGTGTGAAATCATTCGATTCTCAATTTGTAAGTGGATTCACTTGAATTTGTAGTAGGGATTATTAAAATAGGCTTATGGAGTTCTATATCTTAACTATATTAAACAAATTAAATGTCACCGTTGAGAGGTCAGTAATACTTTATTGGACTCTCCATGCAACTGACTTGTTTCTTGGTCGTCCAAATTATGTGATCTGCTGTGTTTCTTATCAAGCTCTAATTGTTTTGCAGAACGCTCTGTACTTTCTTTTCCTAGCGATTGTGGTCCTCATAGCAGCTTGGCTTGGTGAGTTAACTACTTTTGGCCGCGACCATGGCTGTTTCACTCAATTTTCTGTGATACATGCATGATGTTATTCACAATCGCTCTTTGCTGGGCCTTAAAATAATTTTTAAACATGTACTTGTTCTTATTGCAGAGGTCGCGTGCTGGATGCATACTGGAGAGCGCCAGTCCGCAAGAATGAGGGTGGCATATCTCAAGGCTATGCTTGCCCAAGATGTGGGGTTTTTCGACACTGATGCCACCACGGGGGAAACTGTCAGTCGGATTTCCAGCGACACGTTGTTGGTGCAAGATGCAATTAGTGAGAAGGTAGATGAATATAGCAATACCAATCGCATACTGTTTCCGTTCTTGTGATGTTAAGTTGTCCTATCATTCTCTTAAGCTCAAGAGTATTGACCAGGACCTACTGCAGGGAACCTACGACTCAGCAATACAGTGGTTTTTTTGATTTAAAAAAAATTAAGTAATAATTTTTGTTTTTTACGCTCTCAATTTTCAGATTTAATTTTGTATTTGATTTATCTTTGCGACTGAACCGGAGAAGTTTTTCATGAGACTCATTCACCTTCAAGAAGTACCGCATTTTCTGAGTAAAAACTCTGCACATACCTCAACTGGAGTGATATTCATGCTTGCAATGATGACTGAATAGTTATGTCATGTAATTGCAGGCAGGTAATTATGTGCACTATATGGCCAGGTTTATTTCGGGATTTGCAGTGGGCTTCACGTCAGTGTGGCAGCTTACACTTGTCACTGTTGCTGTGGTGCCTCTAATTGCGATCGCTGGAGGTTCCTACGCTGTTGTTATGATTGGATTGACAAGCCGAAGTCAGAAGGCATACTCTAAAGCTGGAGAAATTGCCGAGGAGGTTTGTTCAGATTTCCAATCCCATACCTATTACATCATCACGACAAATGATATTGATTCGTCTTTTCCCGAACTCGGTTCTTACAAGTCACCTCCCAGATAACCGATTAAGCCACTTTTCCTCTCAATCCGACATTGTTCCTAGTCAATCAGTTGAGATTATTGTCCTACACTTGTTGAGCTTCGATACTGATGAGCTTTGTATTTTGACAGGCCATTTCTCAAATTCGTACGGTGTACTCATTTGTGGGCGAGAAGAAGGCTGTTAAGAAGTATTCAAATGCCTTAGAAACAACCCTACAACTTGGGAAAAAGGGGGGCCTTGCCAAGGGGTTGGGCGTCGGATGCACGTATGGGCTGCTTTTTGGAGCATGGGCTTTACTTCTCTGGTATGCTCACATACTTGTGCTCCATAACGTAACCAACGGCGGGGAAGCCTTCACGACCATTCTGAATGTTATCATAAGTGGAATGTAAGTGTTCAATCGCTATTGTATATCGTTATCTCAATTTGCACGATATTATATTTGCTAAACTGACATGTTTTAAGATGTATTTTGACAGTAAGAGCTCACCTTGATTACGTCTACCCGCAGTGCCTTGGGTCAAGCAGCGCCAAATTTGACGACATTTGGAAAAGGGAAAGCAGCAGGATACAATATACTGTCAATGATTGCAAAGAAACCCCTTGTAAATCGAAACAGGGACGGATCAATCCTTTGCCAAGTTCGAGGGCAGATTCAGTTAAAAAATGTGGCTTTCAGTTACCCTTCAAGACCTGACGTTCAAATCTTCCAAAACTTGTGTCTCACCATCCCGGCTGGGAAGTCTGCAGCTTTGGTTGGTGGATCAGGATCGGGAAAGAGTACCGTCATTGCTCTTATCGAACGGTTTTATGATCCATCTTCAGGTAAAGTGTCGTTTTCGACCCGACATACTGGTGGAATGTTCGCCATGTTGCCACAGGCATCTCCGCCTGCCACATCGACAAAATCCAATGGCAGCTCTAGTTTGTATTAATATCAGTGAACGTATGTGGTGCAGGTGAGGTCCTGCTGGATGGTTTTAATATCAAGAATTTAGAGCTACAATGGCTCCGTGAGCAGATTGGTTTGGTTAATCAAGAGCCTGCCCTTTTTGCTACCAGCATTTTAGAGAACATTTTGTACGGTAAAGACGGGGCCACAATCCAAGAAATTCAAGATGCTGCTAAGGCGGCCAATGCCCATGCCTTCATTGATAGTCTGCCAAACGGTTACGACACCCAGGTGTGTGGAGCTGGTGTAAAAAGAATCACCAGCCCTGTTTAAATCAATCCATGTCTTCTTTATTATAATAAAGTGAAAACACACGTACATCAACATCAGCAACTTTCTGCAATTACATTCACTTCAACGTGCCACGTTCTTTACTAAAGTCACATTCTTTTACATTTCTGACAGGTTGGAGAGAAAGGAGTTCAGTTATCCGGCGGACAAAAACAGCGAGTTGCGATAGCTCGTGCCATGCTTAAAAATCCGAGCATTCTACTTCTTGATGAAGCGACGAGTGCTCTTGATTCCGGATCTGAGTCGATTGTTCAAGAAGCGCTCGACCGGCTCATGCTTGGACGTACGACAGTTGTTGTTGCACACAGATTATCGACAATAAAGAACGCTGACATGATTGCTGTGCTTCAGCAAGGTGTGGTGGTAGAGACAGGCACTCATGGAGAATTGCTTTCACAAGATGGAGCATATGCGCAACTTGTGAAAATGCAAGAAGCAACTGGACAAAGCAAGATGCCTGAAGCATCGTCAGACCAGGACCAGGTCGAAACAGCAAGAATTTCAACGCAGAGGAGGTATGAAGATTTTCCGCTGAATGATAATGCCTCATTTCAACTTTATTTTATTTTATTTTGGAAGAAAATTGATATAATTCAGTTCACTGCACGTAGTACGCGTTGCCACTGGTTTTGCACTATGTAATTAATGATCGTGATGTCCAGGCATTCGAGGGGCAGTTCTCTCTCACAACGGCTGAGTCAACGTTGGAGTCTGCGACTTAGTGATAGTTTCCGACTGGGAGGTAGCTTTCGTCAAGTCACTGATCCTGAAACCGAGTCTTGGCTTGGTGAGGATAACGAGGCTTCTCTTGTTCTTCCGAAGCCTCACCCAGCTCCATCTATGTGGAGGTTATTGAAAATAAATGCCCCAGAATGGCCATATGCCGTTCTTGGGTCACTTGGTGCCATAATGACTGGGTGCGAGACTCCTCTGTTCGCTCTGGCTATCAGTGAGATGCTTGTCACATTCTATAATCCTGACCGTGATTATGTCGAGCATGAGGTCCGGAAAATTTGCCTCATCTTCTCTGCTGCAACTGTCGGAACTGTCGTTATCTACGTATTGCAGCATTACTACTATGGATTGATGGGAGAGATCCTAACCATGCGTGTGCGGAAGATGTTATTTTCATGTAAGATTCCTTTTATCCACCTCAATGCAATCGAAAGTTTTTATATCTTTTTATTTGCTAATGCTGATAATACAAGCTAGTTCGATTAGTGCGCTGTAGTTCACTAATTTATATTTGACCACTAATTCTAATGTGAACATTGTTTCTGGCTGCTTTATATGTAAGATCTGTAGATTGATAGCAAGACGGAGAATTCTCCGTTCTTCTTTTGCTGAGAACAACTGTGGCTTGTTGGCAGCTATTCTTACTCAGGAGGTGGGCTGGTTTGACGAGGAAAGTAATAACAGTAACTTGGTGTCTGCACGCCTTTCTTCTGATGCTACCTTAGTGAAGGCAGCTGTTGGAGACAGAATGTCCACCATCGTGCAGAATTTTTCCCTCGTGGTTACAGCGTTCTGCATTTCTTTCTATCTTCAGTGGAAAGTGGCTGGAGTTGTCTTGCTAACTTTCCCTCTACTCGTTGGTGCAGCTGTTGGTGAGGTATGTTATGCTTTCATTCAAATGGTTAATTATTTAGGCGATTTCGGAAGTGCCAATTACGAGACCCAATAATATCTACAAACTATGTCTTGGTGACTTGAGTTAGCTTCTGCAAGTGCAGAGATACTCATGTGTATACCTTGTTCTTCATGTCGTCTCCGGTGTCCATCGTCTGTGGCTCCTTCACGTTATAAGAAATAGAGTATATTGATTTTGGTCTTCCTGCTTGCTCTTCACATTTCTCCTGTCTACAATGCTGTTTATAATTGGATTCATATGAGTCGAAGTTTTCTAATACTTAATTGGTCCTTGCAGCAACTATTTTTGAAAGGTTTTGGAGGTGATCTTGGTAAAGCTTATGGAAGAGCTAGTATGGTGGCGGGAGAAGCAGTTGGGAACATCCGTACAGTAGCGGCGTTCTGTGCAGAGGACAAAGTTTTGGACCTTTTCATTCGCGAGCTTGACGAACCCAGGAAGCGAACATTTCTTAGGGGCCAGCTATCAGGCATTGGCTACGGCTTGTCTCAGTTTTTTTTGTATTCTTCATACGGCTTGGCCTTGTGGTACTCGTCGGTGCTGGTCAAATCTAGCAAGGCTCACTTTAGTGAAGTGTTGAAGGTCTTCATGGTGCTGATTATCACTGCGTTTGGTGTTGCTGAGACCCTTGCATTGGCACCTGATATAGTGAAGGGCTCTGCTGCTCTTGCCTCGGTTTTCGAGATTTTAGACCGCAAAACAGCTATAGATCCCGACAGTCCCTTAGGAGAGGAAGTGACGAGAGTTCAGGGGGAGATAGAACTAAAGCATGTCAGCTTCGCCTATCCACAACGACCTGACATTCACATTTTCACCAATTTCGACTTGAAAGTTAAGAAGGGTAGGAGTTTGGCACTCGTGGGACAGAGCGGATCAGGTATACCTTGCATGGAAGATGCCCTTCTACTTGTTATTTTGTATCTCTTAACTATCACCAAACTTAGATAGGTTAATTATATGATAGTTTTGCATGCGGCATGTTAATCTGTATGTTGAAACGTCATATTTTGTGGGAGCTGTTATCATCAGTGGTGTCAACTGTACTAACTCGCAGTTTCCTGCAGGCAAGAGCTCGGTGATTGCTTTGATCCAGAGGTTTTATGATCCTCTCAGTGGAGCAGTCTTTGTAGATGGCATTGACATACGAAAGATGCGACTGAAATCACTTCGTCGACACATCGGACTTGTCTCTCAGGAGCCTTCTTTATTTGCCTGTTCAATCTATGAGAACATTCTTTATGGTAAAGAGGGAGCGTCCGAGAGTGAGGTCATTGAAGCAGCAAAAACTGCGAACGCACACAGCTTCATATCTGGGCTACCAAACGGATACCAGACAGAGGTTGGTGAAAGGGGAATGCAATTGTCTGGTGGTCAAAAGCAGCGTGTGGCCATTGCTCGAGCTGTCCTAAAGGATCCCTCTATTCTGCTTCTTGATGAAGCCACAAGTGCTTTGGATTCTCAATCTGAGAAATTAGTTCAGGAGGCCCTCGACAGAATGATGTATCGGCGGACAACTGTGGTTATTGCTCATAGGTGGGAAATTCGTGACTGAACACCTATTTTTCTCTAAATATTTTCCCCCCCTTATTTATTTATTTATTTATTTATTTATTTTGATTGCCTTAAATCTCAAATAGAAGGGTAACTACGCACGTTCTTTTTAAATCTGTCTTTGGTTTTCCTGTGTTTTATCCTCGAACATTCCCACTTGCTTGGCCACATGCATTGCTTATAACTATCTCTCGTCACATGCTGCGGTAATTAACTCCAGTGAATATTTGTTCTAGGCTTTCAACTATTCGCAACGTGAACGCAATAGCTGTCATCAAAGCTGGTAAAGTCGTTGAGCAAGGCACTCATTCGGCATTGATGGCAAATGCCGATGGAGCCTACACACAGCTTGTAAAATTACAGCACCGGCAGACTGGTTCGGATGCTACCGTCAACCTATCATAAGGAGTAATCCAGTTGCTTGGATTCCCGATCATAAGCAAAGGATTCAACTTCTATTGATGTAGAAGTGCTGGTTTTGACGTGGTGGGGAAGTAGTGATTCTCCCACTCAACCGCTGTGGTTAAGGCGAATAAGTGAGCCAAGCACTGATGCCCCATATCATTCACCAGGTTTGATACAGATACCATGGGCCGTATTTGAGTATACAAAGGAATGTACACTTCATAAGCCGGGTGCTCTGAAATGACTAAATGGTCAATTACAGGCTTAGAATACTTGTAGGCATTCTAATTCGATCGGAGGTGACCAGGAGGTCAATTTCAGACTTTCGATTCACTGGATCACACTTGGTTACATATTATTCTTGTTGTAAATTGTAAGAATAGGAGTAGAGGGAATTTCCTTGAAAGTAAGGCCCTATTGGCCTGTCACAGCGGTTGGAAGGGTGTCTTCAGAAATTGTTAAGCAATAAGTGGGTTCCACTGGAAGAAATTCCCCTTACTCCTTTTTAATGAATTTGAGGCGAATGCCTTCGCTGACATTGTTGTGGGAAAATTTTCCTTTCGATACGGATCATTTGCTGTCCGCAAAAATTTGGATGCCTGTGGCATATCAGATCTTTCCGATTGTATTCGATGGTTTGTATCCTGAATGTTAGCAAAGCAATCGTGTGCGGACTTGACAGAAGCTTTACTAATTGAATTAGGTAATTGACTAGAATGTCTATGAGGTAATTCGTTCGTTCATTTGTCACGTGCAAACTTAAAGAAGTAAAATCCTTCGGCATTATCACGTATGATCTCAAGAACATCTCTTCCAGCTTCGGACTCTGTGATACTATGCATTGGCTTTTGAACCCGACACCATGGAGGTTCTGGCATCAGAAATTTTTGGAGCCATTCGCTGAGAATCGCTAATGAAGCCTTGCTGCATTCACTCTATCTGACTCTTAAAATAGAAACTCAATCGCTTTTTAAGAGTCAAATTCAGCGACTTGAATTAACCCTTCCTCTGTCACGCTCAAACACATTGTTGTATGAAACTATTTTTTAGGATTGTGGTTGATTATGAAAAAGGGAACTGTTCTCTCTTCCTCTCGTGTTGATGATTATTGAAAGGGATACATCTTTCAATGAACGGTGAGCCCTTTTTCATGGCAGTGAAGAGAAACATCTGTTGAGATATGGTGAAGTCCTCGTCGACCACAGAATGGCGCATGAAAAGAAGGATCAATAAACACTGAAATGGCTGGAAGCATATGTAATACGATTTCAAGTGGAGTTTGATGACACCATAATCTAGAAGCTAGAAGATACCAAAATAAGTGATGGATATGGAACCGAAGGGCGAGATAGCAGAGTCCATAGCCCGAAATCCAGGCTATTGCGACACTCCTGACATTGACTACACCAAAGGCTATTCTCTGCAGCAAACGGTGAGTTCCCTCGGCTTCTTTGCATTGTTAATTAGGTGACATCGATGCCCGTCTTATTCAGCCACTAAATGAACGATGAATTATCTGTCAGAAGCGATGGACACCTCATACTATCTGTGTCATTGGTGTGCCTGACAACCAGATGTACAGAATCAGAGACCCGAAGGAGAGCCTCTACTTTTACTCAAGTGTTTTGGGCATGACGTAATGTTTTCTACCTTCCTGATCCTGTTTTATTTCCCTACCGGACGAGGTGTTCCATGATAATACTTTTCTGGCAAGCTGTGAACTATTGGTGCATTTTGAAGTTTTAATTGAATGATGTAGGCTGATCAAAAGAGTTGATTTCCCTATGGCTGAGTTCAGCATGTACTACATGGGATACGTCAAGGTAGAATTAACTACTGTCTTCGTGTCGATTTTTGATTTAAAGATAGGTGCCATCATGGGAGAAGTCACATTTATTTCAGGTGTCGGGGTGGAGATGAATTTTCTGTTCATGGTCACCGAATGCTCGAGTAGTTGAGCTTTTGTGATGCATTATTGCATTGTCTCAGGATCCTGCTGCCATTCTTCTCGATCCGATGGAGAGGACTGCATACTTATCCAACTGCCATGCTACTTTAGAACTTGCACAGTTAGCATATGTTCGTCTAATTGCACACCTATTATCTGTAACTTAATGGTTTATATTTTATTTTATGTTACAAAAAGTTTATATCTTTGAACTCGTTGTAGCTGGACCCCATCATTTTGGGCACTCGACTTTTGACTTTTCTTAACTTCTGGTGACGTACTGCAGCAACTGGGGGTCAGAACACGATCCAGACTACACAGGATATCACCAAGACTTCAAAGGCTTTGGTGTGCTGACAGCTTTTTCATGTTATTGATTACGTTAATCGTGATTCTGAAAACTGCTCATGAGATTCATGATTTCATTTTAGAGGGTCATTGTTCTACTCATCACACCATCCTTGAACGCAGTGAAGAATGTCGCATATTTTGTAATCTGGAATTTTATAACTTGGTTTTAGTGTTGGTAACTTTGCTAAAACTTGGTCATAGATGAGGACTTCACATGGTCTACTACAGGAAAGTGGAACAAGAAAGGGTGCTTTGGCGGTTAGGGTGCTCAAATGCTCATGTCATAGTTTTCAGGGCATATTGGAATCAGTGTTGACGATGTCTACCGATGTTAACGGCTCCAGAGGCTGGGAATATCGTTTGTAAAGAAACCAGATGAAGGTTAGTCAATTTTCTTTTCAGCTGAAATCTCTTCTAATTGTGGTGTTCAGGAGAAATAAGATTGAATATTGTCCATGTGAGTTTGGGTCATACTTTTGATGGAAAGCAGCTCCACTCAAAGGCTTTTCATGCTTGTAGTAGTTCTTCCTCAATGTGATAGTTTTTTGTTACATGGAGTTGAAGTTCTCAACATGTTTGTGGGGTTATTGCAGGAAGGTTCAAAGGACTAGCTTACATCAAAGACCCTGATGGCTACTGGATTGAGATTATTGACAGTGAGCATATGTGTAAGTTGTTCAGTTAGCCTCGACAGGGATTGGGTTCTCTTCAATAGCTGGATGCTGAACATATGTTTCTGTAGAAAGAAGCATGATTTTTTCCTCTGTAATTTTTGTTTATTTTATGATTTATTATTATTATTATTATTATTATTCTTGTAGATAGACTTTGTAAACTCTTTGGAATAGTACTGCAGTGTCCATTGCCTCCTATCATTAACACCATCACATGAGCTCTATAACGTAAACAACCACAACGCTGAACGTATTAATTTTCCATTCAACTTTTGTCTGCACTGCATTGGCCATTAAGAGCCCTGTTCAATCACGGGGTTTCACCCTCTTGTCGAAACTCATGGAAGAAAATTATTGTTGACCCATCAGTTTGAGATTCAACAACTAATTAAAAAAACAAAAAAAATGACAAAAAACGACTGAAAAAGCGTGCCTCTGCTACAAATGCCACGACACTTATACATGCAATCAACTGAATTTTCGACAATTCTGAAATCAAGTGCCTTTTAAAAAGAATGGTCAAAGAAAAATAGTGATAGAAATACCTTCACTAACGAATCTGACGGATATTATTTCCATCTTCATTCTTCCACCTCTGGAAGTTACCCTAAAAACCTGGTGATGTGGTTTGAAGCAGTCCCTCCTCTCTGTTTCAAATACTCGTCACCACATTCGCATTATGGTCCATCATACCAAATCTGAGCAACGAGTCTCGAATAAAATGGGAATCGTTTGAAGATCTCATACAACCCTGCAGCAATCTCCACTTCGGCACTTCCAGAGACGACATTCGAACCTCGCAGATCAGACCATTTCTAGAAGCCACAAAACGTTTGCAAGGAGTAGGAGATTACAAATCCACGCCACTCGGTGCTTCAATCCACAGACGCTTGCTCTCACTTGCTTTTGTTAGTCAAGCATTAGAGGTATAGCTGTGGCCTTGGGGCGTCACCTTGGCATCCATCTTGATGTCCACCAAGAGGCAGAAATGCTTGTTCCGCCTCGGCAGATGCAAGTCCTCGAGGAAATGATCCAACTTGACCCGCGCCGTCACGAGATACGAAAACAACGCCTGGTCGTTGGTCACAAAGCACCGGTTGTTCTTGTAAGGGTGCCTCCCCCTGATGAGCTTGCGATCATCCCCGCACTCCATCAGCCATGCTTCTACCCCGTCCGTCATCTGCTCCTGTTTCGACTTATCCTTGATGTTCACGTACTCGAAGAACTTGCTCAGATTCTGGTTGTATTCCTCCATAGTCTTCCCCGAGTTGAAGTTGAAGTTGGTGTCTTTGGGCTCCCAGGTGCGCCATCCCGGGGGGTAGGTCCAGTCCATGGAGGGTTTTGCATTGTGCCATGGCTTCGGTGCGGGAGTGGAGCGAGTCGGAGGATTGGCGACGTAAATCCGCTGTTCGTTGCAGCGTCTGGTGATCCATCGAGCTAGTGGGGTCTCGGGGATTGCTTTTGTGACGGTTACTAGAGATGCCCGGTCAAAGATGTGGTGCTTCGTCCACTCGTCTTTGTCGAAAGTGTTTATGTGCGGGAGAACGGTTTGGTGTCCACAATGAATTCGCCGATGAGCGCCGACTTGGGGCATCCACATTCTTGCCATTTGTAGGGGTCCTTCTTCTTTCGGGACATGATAACTGATGGCGTTTGAGGTGTGGAGGAAATTCGGGAGGTCAGGGTAACTGTTTGTTTTTAGACTCTTGGTTGATAAGGAGGAAGGTGAGAAAGCAGACGTAGATGGTAAGGCCGCGGAGGAGGGGCACGGGGTGGAGCCGCGTGGTGATGAGCAGGAGGGAGAAGATCATGAAGGCTTGGTAAAATGGTGTTGCGTCTGGGAGCTCCGTGGTTTGATATGATGGCAACAAGGAGGATTCATTAACAAATGTTCCGTCGGTGTTCACGTGCACTGTAGCGTTCATGTCTTGAATCAGTTCATGCTAGTTTCGTCATTGGTGCATCGCTTTTGAGTGGATTTTCGGTGGGCCCGCGCTCTGGAGGTCGCTCAAAATTTACTGCGTAAACTTGAATTGTTGAATTCCACAAGTTAATCCTGTACAAACTCCCGACTCTGGAGGCCACAGGACTGGCATTCATTGATTTTCACCAGGAATTTACATCGAACAGGCTGCGGCCTCGCAGCCTCACGTATGGTAGCACCATATCCACTGAGGGGTGAACAGTTCCCAGAAGTGACGACCAAAGGATTTCAAACAAATTCTGCAGCCCACCCGCATTTTGCACAACTGTATCTCTCCTAACAGTTTGTATCCTTCTTAATTACCTGATCGTAACCTTCGATGCAAAGCCTTGTTACTCAGCGAGATGATTCGTTGTCTTCAAAATAAACAAATACGAATCTCATCTGAATGTAGCGACACTTGTGGACGCTCACTGCAGATTAGCACATGGCGAGAAGCTCCTTTCTCGAAGAACACGGATAGCGTTCCGGAACCAGGTTAGCAGGAAGTCACTAAATCTCGTCAGTCCAGGAAAAGCTACTAAAAATCCAGATTCCGATGGATTGGATTGACGAGGATAGCATGAGGAGGTGGCGACTTTTCCAGAGCAAGGCACAAGCCTTGCGGATGACTCTCCACTTTCGCCATTCACACTCTGCACAAAGCTCGCAAAGCAAACCGTATGGGTAGGCATGGACGAGATACAGACGAACGTCCGCCCGTCTGGGCTACTTTGAACGAGCGCGATGATCCCAACGGAATGAAAACGAGAGAGGAACTTTGAAACCAGGCTTTGGTATTACAATCAGCAGTTCCGTTCAAGCTTCTCAGCTTCTGGTTTGCACTTTGATGTTTGTGGGTCGGCGTCAAACGGTGCTTCTGTCTTGTGAAGGTAACCATTCCACATGTATTCGGGTTAAAGCGTGCCATATAACATTGCAATTTGAAAACATAGTTCTCCACCGACCAATCAGATTAAGAGTTGCGAAGTTGTGCCCATGAGCATCGATGCTATGATTCCAGCCAAGGCATCTGAGGAGAAGCCTGTGTTGGATGCGTAGTACAATGTGTGTAAAGTAACTTCATTATGTGTAGTTAAGATACGGAGTTTTGACTTTATGTAAAGTATTCACAAAGAGTATGAAGGGCCTTTAGGTTGACTTATTGATCTTTCAATTACCGATCAATTTGGAATGAGTATTTATCTTTTTAATCTATGTCCTTTTATTCTATTTTATTTTCCAGGAAAAGCCCGTGAAGTTAAAAGGACATGTAGAATTTCAAAATGATGTCTCTTACTTGTGGCAATCTGATGAACACAGGCAAGAAAAATACTTAGCTCGTATTCTCAGACGTCTAGAATACCAAAGAACACCTCCTTTGGTGGTATTGTTGGCAAGGTCAAAATCGCCATGAGCAGCACGGGGTTATGAATTGTAGATGCAAACTAGAAATTAGTGGTATCACCTACCAGAGCTCCAGTGCATAGACCAAAGCTGAGTCGAACAAGAGCTCCGAAGCTTAAGTCTCCAAGCACAACACTGACTTAGATCCAGCCAACATCCAGCTTAGTTCTCTCTGTACTCCGGAAGCTCCCCAGCTCAGCCGACACTAATATTCAATTCATGTCGATTGCTGCTGACCTCATATAAATACATATAATATTTCCAACATGGTATCAGAGCTACAGAAATATTTGCCCCGTAAAAACTATAAGAGTAGATGAATGTTTCAATCTAGAAAAGAATTGTTGAAATTACAAATAATATTGTAATGATAACAATAAAATATTTTATTGTAATAGGAAAGGTTGATGAAGAGCTTGAAGTTCTTCAAAAACCAAGAGAAGCATTTCTAAACTTGAAAATGGCAACAAACAAACCATAAATAATAAAGGTAAAATTGAATTGATCAAGAATAAATTTATAAATAATTTCAATTCAACTTCAAATTAAGAATATTAAAGATGACACAAAAAGTGGGCATCAATTATATTCCAAAATTTGATGGTTTATATTTTAATATATTTTAATATAGATTAATACCAATTTTCAAGGTTGAAAAGTTATAGTTCATAATAAGTGGTGAAAAATGGTTACTAATGGAACCAATTATAGCTAAAATTACTACCAAAACCTCAGCTTTACCTATCATAGGAATAAGGAGTATAAATACATGGGCAAACAAGGATAGCTTATCTTTAACAATAATCTACAATTGCCTAGAAAAAAATATTGTTTTACATATACAATCTTGCACATTAGCAAATTTAGCATGGCAAGAACTAGTAAAATTATTTAAATCACATGATGTAATAACTAAGATGTATTTAAAAGACAAATTATACACCTTAAAAATGAGAGAAGGTGATAGTATTATTAAATATATACATACCTTTAGAGCACATCTGAAATAATTATGGGCAACAAGATTAATAATTCCAAATGATGAAGCAATTCTTACCTTAATAAGAAAGTTGCATCCAAGTTATAGATCCTACATTAGCTCCTTAAGAGGGCAACCCAAGTTCACATTAGCATGCTTGATAATAGATTTGATCTAAGAAATACTCGTAAAAAACATGAGCTTAACATCTGATAATAATTCAATACTATATGTAGGTAAGAAATTTCAGAATAACAACAAGAAATCTTATTTTAATAAGAATTTCAAAAAGAGTTTAGAGGAAAAGAGTAGTACATCCAAGCCACATGAAAGGAGCAATTTTTCTATTGAAAAGAAGTACTTTTTTTACAAGATTGTAGAATAAGAATAGCAATTAAAAATTTTAATAAAAAAAAAGAAAAAAACATATATTGTTACAAAATCAAATAGATTATATGTGACAATACTTATAGTTAATTGAAACTCAAATTCAATATAGTATGTGGACTTGGGAGCATTTCAACATATGTATTATGAGTTAGAAGGATTTGTCAAATACATCAAGAGTAAAGACAAACAAGTTATCTATTTAAGAGATAATACTATATCTTATATAATAGAAAGATATGGTGATGTAAATACCAAACTTACAAATGGCAATGAAAAGATCATACCTAATGTATTACATATATCAAGACTTGCAAAGAATTTATTCTTTGCCAAATAACTAAATAAGGGAAGATAAGAAATTTGCATAAGAGTTGGAGCAACTACACTTATAAATAAATTTGGTCAAACCATTGCAATATGCAAATTAAATCTTGATTTAATTAGGTACTCAATTATTAAATCTTGTAAATTTTGGCATTTTTGGTTCTAAATAAGTAGGTACATATTCAAGATTTACTTACTTCATTAAATTTATTGATGATCTAATAAGATGTTTCCATGTATATTTGAAGAAATACAAATTTAAAGCATTTGAAAAATACACCTTATATAATTTTTTTGTAGAAAAAAAAACAAGTTTCAAAAATAAAACCTTAAGATTTGATCATAGAGGTAAATATAAATAAAATAAATTTAAAGATTTATGTAATAAAAATGAATCAAATAAGAATATACTATAGCTTTTATACTACAACAAAATAGTATTTTTGAAAGAAAAAATAGAACATTAATAGAAGAAATTCTTGCAATGCTATCCTATTCAAACTTATTTAATTTTTTTTGGAGTGAAGCATTCCAAATAATCAATTATCTCCAAAATAAGAGCCCTAAAAAATTTATAAAAGGTATCAAAATACTATTTGAATTATGATACAAAAAACAACCAAATTTATTATACCTTAAAATATTTGGTTCTAAAGCTTATTTATTCATTTCTAAAGAAATAAGAAAGAAGTTAGACTCTCATTTACAAGAGACTATCTTTCTAGGCTATAGTGAAGAATCTAAAGCCTATAAACTTATGAATACACAAAGTTAACAAATTCTAATTTCAAAAGATTTTCTCTTCTGTGAGAATCTACATAATAAAAAAGCAACAATATACTTGCAAAATGACAATAAAAAGCTCTTAATGGAATTAGAATTATTTAAGCATCCTTCAATAGCTATAAGTTCCAATGAGCAAAACATACCTCATGTTTAACAAATGCCTTCACCACCAATATTACTACTACAAGAAATACATGTATTCAATCAATAAATATATATGGTACTTTTCAAATTATGGGAAAACAACTCCTTTGTCACATTAATATCATTGAAGCCATCTCTCAACTATCATTATCAAATGACCAAGAGATCTTACCTCTTGAATATAATGAAGTCTATTCCACATTGCAAGACCTAAGTCTTTCTTTTAATTCTTGACCAACAAGAATTATTAAACCAACTACAAGATTATTAGAGTCTATATAAACAAGAAAAGAGTATAAACTCTATAATTGATATTACCAAGCCTACCTTGTTTCTACCAATGTAGAAGCTCTAAACTCCATTTAAGAAGCAATAGAGAAGGGTAATGCTCTAGAATGGCAAAAAGCAATCAATATTGAAATTACATTCTCAAAAAAGAATAATACATGGAAAATAAAAAAATTTACCTCCTTATAGAAAACCAATCAGTTCCAAGTGGATTTAAAAAATAAAAACTAAAGCTAATGGAAGTATTGACAAATATAAAGCGAGGCTAGTTGCTAGAGGTTTCATCTAAGTTCAAGGTATTTATTATATAGAGACATACTCTCTTATAGTCAAACTTAATTCCATCAAAGTTCTTTTTTGCCTAAACTGCTCAACATAATTTGAAAATATATCAATTAGATGTTAAAAATAATATTTTAAAATGGTTTTATAGAAGAAGATATCTATATGACTATTTTTGAAGGATTACCTCATATACATACTTACAAGGTATGTATGTTAAACAAATTCCTATATGATCTTAAAGAATCATCTAAAACATGGTATCAAAGATTACATCAATACTTAATTCTTCACAAATATCAACATCTAGGATCAGATGCAAATATATATATCAAAAGAAAAAATGATAAGGGTTTTATCATAATTTCATTCTATGTTAATGACTATATCATTATCAACAATAAGTTTTCCTTCATTCAACAAATAAAGACATTCTATAATAAAAATTTTACATGTCAGATGAAAAAAAAATCTATTATACTTTAGGCAATGCCATCTTAAGAAATAGAGAAGAAAGATAAATAATCTTCCATTAATCAAAATATTTAACAAATAAACTTAGTAAATTTAATATATTGAATTTCAACCTATTAACTATTCCAATTTAACTAGGAATTTGTTTAAGTAATGGAGACCATATTACTTCATAAGATTACTTATATTCTCAAGTTGTTGGTAATTTAATGTATGCCATTGTTAATTTTAGACCAGATTGAGCACATGCTATTAGTAATTTAGCACAATATCTCTCTAAACTAGGATCTATATACATTTAAACTTTGAAAAGAATTATGAGATATATAAAAGATACATTAAATTTTGGAATAAAATATTAATATTTGCCTCGAGGTGGTATTCTACATGGTTATTTTGATGTTGATTGGATAGGTGACAAGGACATCTACCATTCCACATATAAATTTTATTTCTTACTAATTGGAAGAATTATCTCTTAGGGCAATAAGAAACAACAATCTATCACTTTATCATCCATAGAATTAAAATGTATGGCTTTAATAAAAGCAATAGTTGAAGCCATATAGTTGAGAAAGTTATTATATGAATTTGAATTTCTTCAATATGAACCAACTACCATTTATTCAGATAGTCAAAGTACCATTGTTCTTAGTGAAAATTCTAAATATCACTTTAGAAGCAAATATATGAACTTAGAATACTATTTCACTAGAAAAAAGATTCTTATCAAAGAAATCAAACTATAATATGTGCCAACCATACATATAACAACAAATATATTCATAAAGTCTCTTCTCAAAGAAAAATATTTTTAATGCCTATCTCAACTAGGCATGTATCAAATTTATCTAAATATAAAATAAATAAATTATTTTATAATCATTTAAGCCTTATTGGTCTACTCAAAGCAATAAGACCTTATACAACATCCACATTTTAATACATCATAGAGTAGGAGATAATTTAATAAGTTAACTTACTCCAAATCCATAAAATATCAAAATACAAAAGAAAACCTATCTATTTAAACTGCCAAGAGAAAATAAATGCAAGGCATATTCCAATGGTTGTAGCAATGCATGTTGTAGAATTCGCATCCATGCTTGCTGTAGAGTCTATGACCATACTTGTTGTAAAACTTATCACCGTCACTATACTACAAAGCACATTGTCAAGGTGATTGCGTCCATGACCAATCTTGCATGGATGCTTGTTCTGGAGTCCCTAATTACACTTATATTTATAATATCTCTTTCAACAACAATAGTGCCTCCTTCAACAATAAAAAAAAAGAAATAATAAAAATGAAATAAGAAATGTGCGAACAACAAATAGGAAGAAACAAGAAAATACAAATCAACACAAGAAATGACATACCTTCTAAGAATTGAAGAAGCAATGGGAGAATTCTGAGAAAACTCTATAACATTGCAATATCAAAAAAGAAATTAAAATTCTATATTTCTTATATATATTCATTTTAAAAATAGAAAATTTTTTACTATGGATGAAATTTAATTCAAGGATGAAGATTAGTGTCTTAGTGGAAGTAGTAAAAAA